TGATTCACATTGGACTCAAACAAACAGCATAGAGAATATTGATTGAATTGGATTGGAATAGAAAATAAAAGAGGAACCCGTTTAGTGAAAATGTTGTACATAAGACTTAATAATTTTTATTGGTTTGTTTAAACGATATTTGCTGGGCAGTCGTATAGGTTAATGCTTCGATCTTCTGAAACTGAGACCACTTTGTTGCTATCTGGACTGTATTTTACGCCCCACACTTGATCCAAATGTTCGTTGAATGTGTGCACACATTTTCGCTCGGCAACATCCCAAATTTTGACGGTTTTGTCACTGGACGATGAGGTAAAGTGCTTTCCATCTTCCGAGAATGACACACTCAACACCCATGATGCATGACCAGATAACGTAGCAGCTATGTCAGAATGTACACTGTAAACAAAGAAGAAACAACAGTTGAAATCTATCTACTTTTGAATTTTGAAGCAATTCAATGATGATTCACACAAATCTTGCTTTTGATTCATGGAAATTCTTTCTTTTTATGATTTGCTTTTCAATACCATTGATATACAACGCGATAATTGACACTTACACATCATAAAGTTTCATGTGACCGTCGTCGGAAGCCGTCAAAAGCATCTGAGAATCGGGCGAGAAGCACAAACTACGCACGGACATAGCGTGACCTTCAAGTGTTTGGGCCACTTTTCCAGCTGCCACATCAAAGATATTGATGATTCCATCAATAGCACCACTGGCGATGTATTTTCCATCGGGACTCTATGCGAACAGAGACAAATAAATAAAAATTATTCCAAAATTAAAAATAAAAATAAAAAAAATTCGAGTAAATTAAAATTCGTTGTGTTCCTTGCTTACATATGCAATGCTCAAGGTGAATTTTCCGTTTTGTGGATCCAAAACTTGTTCGGGTTTAGCGGTTTCAACGTCATACAGGGAGATTTTTCCCTCGTGTGAGCCAGAAATAACGTATTTGTCATCAGGTGAGAATGCCACCGTCCACAGATCGACTGGACCGAGTGCGGCTTGATTCAACATTTGTCCTGTTTCAGTTTTCCAAATACACAAACCAGAGTCAAGAGAACTGCTTGCAATTGTTTTTCCATCGCTGCTGACTGCAACCGAAACGACACCCAACGAATGACCACTAAGCTGTTGCTGCAAATCAAAACGATCACCTTTCACATCCCAAATCTTGACTGTATCATCCAAACTGCCAGTCACAATGAAATCATTCAATTCACCTTCGTTTGATTTCTCTTTTGTATCTTCGTCGCCTTCTTTCATTTCCGCATCGGATTTTTCACCGTCACCGGTTCGAGTTCGACCCCAAGCCACACACCAAATGCTCTCGTCATGAGCGAATTCTTGTTTGTGCAATAATGAATACTAAAAACAAACGAAAAAAATCATTTATCAGCTTATTTTCGGAAAGTGGTTTGAATTTGTGGTTATGTTCGTAATATTGGCTTCTTCAGTTTGAAAACCCATAAATAAATGCCGATTATAGCAAACTCACCATTTTGAATGATTTGAATGAAACAACGTCCAATTTAAACCAATACCGAATTTTAAAAAATGCCGATGAAGTATTTTAAACTTGAAAAAATCAAACAAATTTCGCTGAGGTTCCAATCACTTTTGCCGCTGTTGTTATTTACTGTGTATGTTTGCCTCAACTGGTGAAGCAAGTGACGTTTGTAGCGTATGTGACAGTCTGCGTCACAAGTACAGGGAAAAAAACGTTCAAAATGTCAAACCGTTCAATACGAACGCAAGCATACAATTGAAACCGAAATCGTAGGATCCAAAGTTAAAAATATCCAGAGAAAATGTTCTAAAGCGAAATTTTCAAATATATTCACAAAATTACAAGTGGAATTGGATTTTAAACGAAAAATTGTATGAAAATAACAGAAAAATTCGAATTGAAACGTTCGCATTCAAACATCGCGGCCATAGTGTCAATGTCAAACGGTGCATTGAGTTAACGATTTCCATTTTCATTTGGTAACGCATTCACCACTGTCCATGTATGTGTATGCGATACGTTCAGTACGTAAATTTTCATTTTGATCGAAACGCCAATCATGACATAGATTTATAGTCATTCGCAAGCGATTCGTCTTCTTTTTTAGATCGTCGACGAATGTGTCCGCGTATAGAAGTGTTGTAACATAGACAAATCAATCTTTATTTTTCCAAACAAACAAAAAAACATTTTCAATTGTATATATAGTGTGAACACATTCGGGGACAATCGAAACGAAATCCAAAATAGCACAGAACAAAAAAAAATCGAATTGTAATAAAGTCTCAAGTGTATAAAAAGTCGAATTGAAGTGAACAGAAAATAAAAGTTATTGTCGAGAAGAGAGCGATGTGTGATTGGGTGTAATTTGTATGTTGTTTTTTTTCCAATGCGATTTGCCGTGAATGGTGTGTATGTGTGTGGGAATCAGAATCGATTTGAAACCAAAATACCAACATAATCGGTCATAAAATTGGCGATATCAAGTCGTGCGGGAAAAAAATCTGAATCATTTGTTGTTTTTTCCAATGGAATAGTGCTTTAAAAATCCATCAGTGCCATTTTCTACAAAATATTTTATTTGTAATAACCAGCGAATCAGCAAACGACCACAATAACAGCAGTAGCAGCAGCAGCAACAACAAGAAATTAACAAAACAAAACAAAATTTAATCAAAAAGTGAAATGGCACATACACACACACAGTGAGAGCGAGATAAAAATCCAATTTAATTTGTCGAGTGATTAAAATCAATTTCGTAGTGGCTCCATTGCGATTGACATCGTCAAGTAATCAAATTGAAGGGCACCATACTACGTATATACATAAAAAGAAGTGAAGAGAGAATTACAAAAAAAAGAAGGAAAAAAATTCAACGAGTATAATTTTTCACGGCATTCTGACGGCACCAGCAGAGAAAAAAGAAGGAAAACCATCTGCGGCGGCTACGGAAGTTGATTCAACCAAAAAGTATAGTTGCCCATTTATGGCCGATTTTCATATTTTCCATATACGCTATCCAATAATGCAGAAATAGGAAAGTATAAATAATCAGCATATACATCGGTCGACCGTCGCGCTCTCACTCTGTGGATATAACACACATACACACAGTTCAACCCGTCTCTCTCTATCATTCTTCCTCATCAACGACATCGACATTAGTTTTTCTCTCAGTGTCGCATCTGTTTTTTTTCTCTCTGTGTGTGTGTGTCGGTGAAACAACAACAACACACAGTGTTTGTGTACGTGCGTGTATACTGCGACAGCAAGTGTATTGGTGTTGTTAGCAACACGCGGAAAACTCATCGTGGTTTTTCACCAAAATATTTTCTCATCACATCAAAGAGGCATGCAATGAGAAGGACATCATGTAAGCTATTTATGGAAAATTTGCTACTCATTTGTATTTTTCTTGTGTGCTTTTATGTCCCTTTCTTCGTTTTCTGTCTCGTCCACTTCACGCCTTGGATTTTCCATTGAAACGGACGATAAGTCTATCGCAAGAACCATGAAAATCGAATAATATTCAAAAAAGTTTCACTTGAATCATCGGGTGTGCTGTGCTTGTGCTGTGTAAATGCGTTGAATGTGATGTTATTGACACATTTACGCCATGAAAAATTGAAAAGAATGTTTGCGTTTGTTACGCGAATCAAGCGATGTTTGCCTGACCATAGCGATAAAGAAAAGAAGTAGAAAAAAAACTACAAAGTACGCGATGAACGTGTACGCGCGTTTGCGTTGCTTTTAATTATGAATCAGATAAAAATTTGATGAGCAAATGCGCGGTTTTAGTTAAACTTCATTAAGGAAAAGAGCCGCGCTTTGAATGCAAACAGTGGTGTTTGCTATGTTATTTCTACGACTATTTACTCTTTCTTTAGTTCGGTTCAGTTTCTTCAAACGAATTAACTGACTGCGAGAGCTCGTGTACAGCAGCAGTCATCGTTAGAGGAGATAGACACACAGACCTTCTTTGATGATCACTCATTTTCGAGTAGTAGTTGCACGGGAATCGGAATGAGAATGGCAGCTAAATCGACGAATATAATGTGTAACGAAACAAGAGCTCGGAAACACGTAAATATGCATGCAGCAATTTATTCTTTTTTTTTCTTCTTCTTTTATTGATGTTGTATTTTTATGTGTCTATGAATTGAACAAACAAGTTAGCAACCAAATACATCATATCAAATGTTTCAAACGCGCGTCTCATCGTTCATTCTTCTGTCTGCTGCTGTTCTTCTCTCGCTCTTTAACTCTCTACTCTCGCATTTCGTACTACGTACATACACCTCACCACTACAACAGCAGCAAAACATTGACACAGACACAAACAAGACTAGCGCATTTACCATCCATGAATCATTCTACCAGTCGAACGAAACAATAATAATAATCAAGTAATAAAAGTGCCGTTTTTCATTTTCATATTCGTGTTTATGTGCATGTAGTCCAACTATTAAAATGTATGTATATATAGGATGATACCCAAATCCAGAGGTATAGTTCGTGTATGCGTATGTACATAAAGAGAAGCAGCAGCAGCGTGTACATTGAACACAAGAGGCAGACGATATGCGACACACACCGTACAATGTTACAACATATTGTTCAAACGGCAGTGTGGAACAAATAACACTAGAGAGAGAGAGAGAGAGAGAGAGAGAAAGAGCTTCTCTCTACCGAATGCATACGGTAAATAGTCTATGTGCTCTAACATATATTCAGTCTCGACAAAGACGTGAGTGCGCGCGCGAAACACCGACCGACCGACAAACACCGACCCAGCTCATCTACCAACCTACCTTCATATGGGAACAACGTTTTTAACAGTCAATAGAATCACTGTTTGCCTAACCATAATATTACCTGAGTGAGAGCTCAATGTGCATTTCAAAGCACACACAATCGATGCAATTTAGTACATTCACTCACACACTCCGCGGTCCAATCGCGCATTCCATTCAAAATTATTATGTTGTGTAGAGTGTGTTTTTTTTCTCTTTGCTGTATGCTGCATGCTGCATGCTGCTTCTGCTTCTGAAAGTGCACTTCATTATATTTAAGTTTTCTCCGGCGCGAGAATCGAAAGGAAAAATGAAACCAATGCCAGAGGCAGAGAAAAAGAGAGACAGAGACAACTTCCAAATCAATTACAGCATTTCAAATGGATGTTGCAATTTTTTTTCACTTCTTTAAACTGCTACTTGGACTTTTGACATCGTACTTGCCAACGGCGAATAGATTCCTCAGCGCGCGCGAGCAAGCGATCGCATTCACTTACTCTCGTAAAAGCGTATCACTCAATCTCTCACATCGTTTGAATGTTAACAAATGAAAGGCACACAGATGATGATGAAGCAAAGAGAATATGTGAAAAAAAAGACACAGCAACAATCTAAACGGAGTTATCACATTGAGTCTTTGAAAGACATGTCATAAACGTGTGCTTGTGTACATTCATTGGCCGTGTCGATCGAATCGAGCGTGTTATGCGCGTTTGTTATTGTTTCGAAGGAATTATCATTTTTATTTTCATGCGCCACTCGCTTCTTTCACATATATTCTTCACTCCTGTTTGTTTGCTGGCATTACTCATGTTTCCAGTCGAGTCGAGTCGACTCGAGTAGCGCTCAAGTAGAGTAGTGCTCTTGTTGTTCGAGTTGTAATGCTTTGGGGAATATAATCACCCCGTCGTATTAAAATTGAGAGCGAAACGACGTTTGCAGTCGATTATTACAATAATTGCCTTTGGTCAGTGACAGTTCATTATCTTCGTCAGAGTTCATTTGTATTTCTCAATTGTTTTGTTGTATGCCATTCTTTTTGCCTTCGTTCAACTTCTCTTTTTTTTACTTCGTCTCGCTCTCTCGACGTGTACATGAAACAATTATTATTATGATGGATTTTTCCCCGCTTCTCTCGCCACACACCAGATAATTTGTTTGTTATTTGTTGTACTTGATCTGTATTTTGTGTCAGTTCAGTTGTTGCTTAATGTCATTTGAATTTTATTTGTCGATCCCAATTTCCATGTTAAAATGGAGGATTAGAAGCATATTGCGATTATCATTATTTTCTGCTGTGTTTGTGCTTTGTTGGGTTCGATTGACGTAAGTGTACGTTTGCATGTACGTATGTAACTACACCCGCTCGATGACCATATATTTTGTATATTAAATTGTTTCGTTGTTTTTTTCCCGCTCTCTTCATTTCGTGAATGCCAAAATCCAAAACGTGTAAACACATTTTTTTTCAAGCACAAGCCAAAAACTTTGCAGGTTCTTTCAATTGTGTGTTTTTTTCTGATTTCGTTTAATATTTTTTTGTGTTCGAATTTCATGTGTGCAATTTCATGGCTCAATCAACAGCAACACCCGTTCGCGTAATGGTGCCATTCTCAGTAGAGAATTTTCGCTCACTCGTTCGCGCACAAACACACGATCAACGCTATTTAAACACGGATTCCATTTGGTTGTGGCATTCATTTAGACCCGAATGATTCCAAATGTGCGAATCATTCGCTCAATATCAAATAGACCAACACATTTCGCCTGTCGCTTCCAAAGGCCAAACTCACAAAAAAAAATAAAATTACGCATTCATCATAAACAATTTTTTTGAACGGATTAAAATTATTATCGATGTCTATTTACAATTTTTGATATGTCGTTGGTGATTCTGTTTTTTCCGTTCCAAACACCGTGTTCTATCCGCTTGACCGCTGAAATTCGTCAATGCTGCTTTTGCATTTATACAACTTCCGTCCCTTTCTTATCGAAGTCGTTTTGGCGTTGTGAGAGTGTGACGAATGGCGCTTTTTTTAGCAAACCGAGTAGGTTTTTTTCGCTTGTGCGGTGTGTGCGCTTCGTCGATCAGTCACATTCATTTATTTTTTTAATTAGGTGACTGTTCTTTGTTTTTTTATTATTTCATTCGAAAGGTGTTGAAACGGTGGAATTTATTTTTGATTTCGATTTGTTTTCATTCGGAGCCGATTCAATTTTTGAGCCGGCGCGAAGAGTAACGAGTTTCTTGTTCGGTGTGCGTATGTGTGAGCGAACGAGTGAGGTTCGCACATATTTCGATCGTGATTCGAATGTTGGTCGACAGTCTTAAATTCATAACGAATTCGAGTATACGGTGTTTTTTTTCTTCATTTCGTTCAAATATTTCGTTGCGCACGCGGAGCGTAGGAGAGAAATGTTACTTTAGACTCGATTAGTTTCGTACATGTGAAGACTGAATAAGTTAAATTAAATGTGACCAAAGCGTAAAATGTATTAGAATGTGTGTTGTCTATTATTGTTACTGTTATTATTGTTATTGTTATTCGGTATAACGTCGAACGAGTGTTGAAACCAAATATTATACATCTATTGATTTATTGACGAAAGTGAAGCCTTAAGTGGATACAGTCATTAATTTTGGTAATGGACCAATGTGTTAATTTTAATTGACAGCCCAAAGTCGGTTATGTATCTGACGAGATTAGATCTAACGGCAAACAAAAACCAATTTCGCTAACGAAACATACAAAAAAATGCTGTTTGGCAATTGGAGGGATTATTTAGATACGAATACACACACACTAACACAAACGAATTCCACGCAAATATCGATTCAGATGCAATGACATTGAACCACGCAAAAACACAAAGCACCGACTTTATTACTCGTAACAAAGGAAATTAGTCATTTCGAAAACGGAGCGAAAGAACGAGAAGTGATTTTCACAATTCTTTGTGTGTGTCTCTGAGATGTGAAAAACAAAACGGGCAGAGCACAAAAAAAAGAACGGTTCCTTGTAACGCAATGCTGCTTTTGTTCATTTCGATTTGAAAGTAAATCGAATACCGTGCATTTCTAATGTTGTTAATGAAAACATATCGAAATCAAATTAAGAACTCGTATCACTTTTTTTGCGATAGACTTTCTATAACCAAGTTGTTTCAAGTAGTGTATGTGAAGTAACGTTTTTCTATTCGGTTTTGGTTTCAATTCCTATAATTTGCCATCATGATTCAGTGGGTTGATTTTGTTCCTGAAAAATATACCATTTCCTTTGTTATTGTAAATTGAACTGCGATTAAACGCACAGAAAAAAAGACTGTTCAGCTCAAAATGCGCTTTCCGCTCAGGTTTTTTTTCTTCTTTCTTTCAATTTTTTTTTCTTTCTGTTTGATTTTGTGTGTATGGCTGTTTTTGTGGTTGCTCGTCTTCTCTCGTCTCTGTGGGTATTTGATTCTCTTTCTCTTTCACCTTCAGTTCGTCTATTTTTATCAAAGTGTATCAAGTAAACTGAATCGCAATCAATAAAAGAATTCAAGCAAAACAGAAAATAAACCACGTCAAGCGAATGAACGAACGAACGACGAACAAATGAGCGAATGAGCTTTGAACAAAGATATCGAAACTATTTTTACGTGGAGTGATGAAGAGAAATTGTGTCGTTTTTCTTTACGCACAAAATGAGCTAACATGATGATCGCAGAGAGAGGGGGAGAGAGAGAGAGAGAGAGAGAGAGACTGGCAACTCAACAAACAGACAAAGAAATATCAAAAACCACAGAACAAAAAAAATTAACAGCAAATGTCAAGCCTTTTTTATGAACAGAAAATAAAATTAATGAGTTTGCATTTTTGTTCCGAACAATTTCGAGATGAATTTAAAACAAAAGCAAATCGGACAATGTGATTGATTCCGATGACGTTTTGCACCGTCAATTTGCTTTATTGTTTTCCATTCGGCATAAAGCATGAGCTGTGTTGCACGAGCGCTCACAACATTCATTATGGATCATGTAGTAATAAAGACAAAGAGCAAGGCAAGGTAGTGTCTCCTTTTATGGCCACAACTTATTCATCACGCTTCATTTCGATGTAAATCCAAATTTAACGCAGTTAAACAGCACACGTTGTAGCCGTTGCCGTTGTCGTCGTCGTCGGCATCGTTGGCGATTGCAATCGAAACATCAAGACTGAGAAGAAACAAAAAACCGAATGAAAAACAAATTCGTCATTTGCAGACGAGATGCACTTTCAATGAAAATGCGTTCAATGTGTCTTGTATCGTGTCTGTAGAGCATTCGGATAATGTGCCAACGGTGAAATTTGAGACTCGCAAAATAGATTTGCCGTCTTTCTTTCAAAATAAGTGTGATTTTAGTCAGATTGATGTGAATTCACGTCGCAGCAAAACAACCGCATTTATTCAATGATAAATCCAATTTGTACATCTTCGACACTCTCTGAGGCTGATCGCCGCATTTACTGTCGCCAGCTTCTTTGACGTCTCTTAACCATACCGTCTTGCTTTCTGTACATGCTCTCAAACACACCAACACCACCGCCGCCGCCACCGACATCGTTCAGTTTAAATTCCACTGAATCACGGCACACGGTGTTTATTCCCCGATTTCAGTTTCAAAAGCTATTTTTATTTCTAGTTTTTTTCTCTTCTTACATTCTCTTTCTCTCTCTCTCGCTCATCATCTGAACTTTTCACACGTTTTATAATTAAAATTCGGGTCACTCATTTAAAAGCAACGTTCGCGCATACATTCTATCACTTCATGCGCACTGCTTTGGATGCGTATTTTGAATGAATCTCAACATCCAGTTCGAGAGCGAAAGAAAGAGTGAGAGACAACACAATCAAGTGTAATAACCGACGCACATTAACACCATCGTTAATGCCATTCGCACAATTACCATAGGATCATTTCGAATCAATTTCAATGCAGAAACGTTTTTTTTTCCTCTGTAATGTTTTTTTGCCCAAATTCCAAGGCAAATGTGTTTTTAGAAAGGGCACGAATAGAAATCCAAAACTACAATAGAAACAGTTAAACATATAAACGATATATTCACATTGGAAAAACCTGCCGACGAATTGGAAACAAAACTACTAACAACAATAATAAACAAACCGAGTGATTCAGTGAGGAAAAAAACACTGAAAAATGGTGCAATTTCAAAAGGAAATGTGTGTAATAAATTATTTATAGATTCCATGTAATGCGGCGAAGAATCTGCGACGTCTACATTATGTTTTATCGCAAAAGATGTATGATGACGCTACTACACTTGACGCTTCGTTCTGTTTCGTTTCTTTTTTCTATATCACCAAGACTTTCGTCAAAAATAGATGAATAGAAACCGTTTACTGTTCACATTTACCAACGCACGCACCAGTCTTCAATAGAAAGTGTGCGTATGCGAATTTTAATCGCTTCGTTTATTATTTTTTTAAAGCATATACAGTTTTTCCCTATCTAATTCAAGTGGACTCATGGTGTTTTCGTTAGCGTTCGCATAAAATGGAATTTGAAAAACTTGTTGCATTTTCTAATTCAAATGTTAATCGTATAATTGACTAATTTTGTCCACTTTCAGTATGAGCCGCAACCAAGCACAGATACCGCCATCCAAGATGGAGCACGATGCGTCTGCACTGGCAGCCGAACTGTTTGACCATTTCAGTTCGGCAACAACGATGCGACAAATACTCGGTCTGTACCATAGTATGTGTGACACAATATCACTACGGTCGGCACCGATCAACGAATTCTATCCCAAGTTGAAGTCAAAAATTCGCAGTTGGAAAGCACAAGCGTTGTGGAAAAAATTCGATGCACGTCTATCGCATAAGGTATACAATAAAGGATTGGCTTGCAGTGGTACCCGAGTACTGGTGATTGGAGCTGGACCGTGTGGCTTACGAACAGCAATAGAAGCACAATTGTTGGGCGCCAAAGTGGTGTTGATTGAAAAACGTGATCGATTCTCACGAAATAATGTCTTACATTTATGGCCTTTTTTGATCACCGATCTACGAAATTTGGGAGCAAAAAAGTTCTATGGCAAATTTTGTGCCGGTTCAATTGATCACATTTCAATCAGACAGTTGCAATGCATTCTGTTGAAAGTGGCACTGTTGCTCGGTGTCGAAGTGCACGATGGCATTTCATTTAATAAAATACTCGAACCAAAGGATGGATGCGGATGGCGAGCTGACATCAGTCCGGCCGATCATGCTGTTTCACACTATGAATTCAATGTGTTAGTCGGTGCCGATGGAAAACGAAACACACTCGAAGGCTTCAGACGCAAGGAATTTCGTGGCCGCTTGGCTATCGCTATCACAGCCAATTTTATCAATAAGAAAACATGGGCTGAAGCCAAGGTCGAGGAAATTAGCGGCGTTGCATTCATTTTCAATCAGGCATTTTTTAAAGAACTGTACGAAACCACGGGAATTGATTTAGAAAATATCGTCTACTATAAGGATGAGACGCATTATTTTGTCATGACAGCGAAAAAGCACAGTTTAATTGATAAGGGAGTGATTATTTCCGATTTTTCCGATCCGGCCGAATTACTGGCACCGGCCAATGTTAATACAGAAGCATTGCTCGCCTATGCTAGAGAAGCTGCCGATTTTTCCACTAAACATCAAATGCCACAAATGGAATTTGCTGTAAATCATTATGGAAAGCCGGATGTGGCTATGTTTGATTTTACATCGATGTTTGCCGCTGAAACATCATGTTTTGCTGTGGTCAAGAAAAATTATCGCTTGCTACAGTGTTTAGTTGGTGATAGCTTGTTGGAACCGTTCTGGCCAACGGGTTCCGGTTGTGCTCGTGGTTTTTTGTCCAGCATGGATGCTGCATATGCAATGAAACTGTGGACCAATCAACGCAATAGTATTTTGGCTGTGCTCGCACAACGCGAGAGCATTTATCGGCTACTAGCCCAAACGACACCCGAAAATTTACACCGTGATATTGGATCGTACACTTGTGATCCAGCCACACGATATCCAAATCTTAACCGAATAGCGGTCGCACCACATCAAGTAAAACATTTACTCGAGTCGGATGATCCAACGTTATTCGAACAAACATTTCTCGATTCGAATGTACTCAACGTTGTGCCGGAGACTTTGGTACGACGAAAACGACGCACAGGAGGTGAGTTATGGTTGAAAATTTGGAAAATATTGCGATTTTGGTATTTGATATCAGATTTTATAACATTTCAATCTCGAATTTTCTCTCTTCTTTCCACAGATGTGGCACCACTTTCGGCTGTTCTCTTGCGATGGATCAAATCACAGCTCAGTTCGTATGAATTTCTTACGAATTTGGAAAATGCAGCTGAATGTTTTACAAATGGCCAGGTCTTTTGCTGTTTGATAAACCGGTAATTTTCAATTTTCCCTGGCGAAAGAAAACTCTTTCGAATTCGTGTATTTTTTCAATGTTTTCTTTCTTTTTCTCCAAATAGATATCGTCCAGATTTGATAGACCTCACAAAGTTAAAAGGCCTGAATGTTGAACAGTGTAATGAGATAGCATTTTCGGTGATTGAACGTGAGATGGGTATACCGAAAGCAGTAACGGCCGCCGAGTCAGTGACACTGGTAGGAGTCGATCCAAAAGTGTGGCTCACCTACCTGGAGCAAGTGTGTGAAGTGTTTCGCGGGGAAATTCCGCATGTCAAGCATCCAAAGCTGGATCTTGAAAAACTGCGTGAAACAAAGCGTGAAGCACCAGATTTTTCGAATCTTCTGAAGTTGAAATCGCAATCGAAAGATGTTCAACGTCAAGCAGATGAACCAGATCGTGAACGACCCCGACGATCTCGTCGATTTGATACTTCTGCTGTCAGCACACCCAGAGCCACGCCAGATGCACCAAGTCGACGATCACGTAAACGGCGAAGCTACGATAAATTTGGAAACATTGTAAGTTACCCAAAAAAATTTATTTATCTTGATCCATTTTATTGAACATTCTTTTGAAACAAACAAAAAAAACAATGGCGTACGAATAGGAAGAGCGTGCCAAACGTATTGAAGAGATTGAAGCCAATCGAAATGAACGTCAAAGTAAACGACGCCTGCAACGGGCGCAACAAACACAAAACTTTTACAAAAGTTTGCATATGTTGCAAGCGGGCCAATTGTTACGCGATGAAAATATTGACGAGAATAGCCCATTCGAAGACTATTCCATTTATATGTATCGACAAAATGCACCCGAATTCAAAGATCGCGTCAAGGAACTCGAACAAAAGTTGTTACACCCCGTAAGACGATCTCTATCATATGTGTGTGATGTGTTATGCAGTTGTTGTGCTCCACTCTCGCCAAAATGCTTAATTTAACCTTGAATAATAATGCTGAATCAAACTCATGCTAAAAATACACCCATCCGTCGTGGATTAAACACTGAATTATTACTTTTTTCGTTTTGAAGATTTTGTTTTGGTTTTTGTTTTCGTTTTTCTTTTATTTCAATGAATGAAATGAATTTCAAATTTTCTAACAGAACCATCAACTAATACACAACAAATGAACAACTGAAATAATTGAATAGCTCATCTCTCGTTAGCATACTTATCGCATGATGTTGTTATAATGCAAGGCCGTTATTTTTCTTTGACTAATAAGATTGAATTTACTTTCAATGTCTAGGATCGCGAGAAAGGCATTTATTCGGCTTTGCCAAAGGGCACACCCGACGAACAATTCAATGATCGCATCAAGTCAATGGAACAACGCATCGCAGGCCGAAACCAAGTCACCAATGATAGAAAACCGAAAGATTTGCTCCGAGCCATTGGTAAAATCGAGTCAAATGATTGGAATTTGCGCCAAATCGAAAAGAAAATTGAAGATTCGAAGAAAACCGAAGTGGGCAAAAGCCGGGAAAAGGTTCCGAAGTGGAGCAAGGAACAGTTCTTACAGCGACAGAACAAGATCACTCGCCCAGATGATCAAGAAGCCGATGAACGGTTCAAGGACATCGATCAAACGATTAAGAACGCTGAAAAACAACTGAAAGATGGAGCTCTGCGGGAGCTTGGCGAACGAGGTCGCAATAAAGTCGCTTCAATCGCTGGCAATTTCATTAAGAAGGACGAAGCAAACGATAAAAGTGAAGACAAATTGCAGAAATCGGTAAGTGTTCATTTGGTCGTTATTTTCTTTTCAATTTCAATTTTTTGTCGGTCGACAGCATTTCTGAGATCCAATTAAAGTCTTTTTTCGAACACCGAATGGTTTTTAAATCATGTTTTGTTATTAAAAACAACAGATAATAAATATGTTTATTTTTTCTCAATCCCATTTCAGAGTTCGAAAACTGGTTTGGTCTTCAATTCGCAAAAAACGACCGACATTTGCCATTTCTGCAAGCAAAAGGTGTACGTAATGGAAAAATTGTCGGCTGAAAGCTTGGTTTTGCATCGAAACTGTTTGAAGTGCCACCATTGTCACACGAGCTTAAGAGTTGGCGGCTATGCCTTCGATCGTGATGATCCCGAGGGGAAATTCTATTGTACACAACATTATCGACTGCCAGCAAAGCAAATCCGTACGACTGTTCGTAAATATCCACGAGCCGAAGTCAATGAATCGGCTGCATCGAAGAATAACAGCCCATATAAAACGCCCGAAAAGTCAACGAGTCGAGCGGAAAGTTTGAAGCAAATCGACTTACTCGATCGTGGTCAAACGCCAGAACGGATTGAATTTGAGAATATTGATGCAATGTCTGATGGTGAACCATCATTCAATAATATTATTGATGAAAATGAATGGACGGATCGCAATTTTGGCACTGCCAGCGAAGAGTCTGAGTCGGACATTTCGTCCAGTGACGATTCGAACGATAGTGATTCGGATATTTACGAAGATGTGAATGGATCGCCGTTAGAAGCACAAACCCTGCAATTGGCCAATGAATGGATCGGAAAGCAACGATACACTTCAAATCAGTACAGTGAGGATGACGAATTTTACGCTTCCAGTGAAGGTATGACTCAAATTATATATACACACACAATTTTTACTATAAGATAATGCTATCTGTTCTGATTCACTCTGACTCTTTGTGTATTAAGGTGTGATAACGCAAACAATGTCAGTTTGAAAACAAAACAAATTAATCATTTATAAACAAAGTAATTGAAATGAGTCAAATTCGAAAGTAAATACGGAAAAAAACGTTGATGATTCAAATTTATTCTTTGATTGATGATGGAAACATAGAAATGCTTTGAAATTCATTTGATACGCTCCATTCCAGATGATGAAGCCGATAGTCAAACGGAAGGTGAAGAGTTGGAAAAGGCACGAGCGATTCGAATGCAAGAAGCTAAAGTGAAACCAGTGCAATATTTGCCAACGGACACTGAAACCGAGGTGCGTATTGAAGAAAAAAAGAAGCAAACCTCTCTTTCTTTGTCGTTTCAAAAGTTTGAAGCGAGATACGCAATTTATTTCAATAATTCGGTTCGTTAATTTGAATATAAATTACAATTTCAACAAAATTCTTTTTGTTCACATCCCGAAGAAAACTATGCAATTTATATTCAAATTAATTAACATGAATTAATCTTCTTTTATTTTTTCACGAGGTGGTGGGTTAATTGATGATTTCTCTTCTTTTTCTTTCATATTTTCTTTCTTCTCTATTTTACACACTTTTGTTCACATTCACCGAAAAAATAAAATAAAACAAAACCAACAAAACCGAAAAAATTGATCCGAATGAAAAATGTAGGCTGTGTCACAATTAAAGAAAATGTCAGAATTCAGTAGAGCTAAGAGTAATAGTGTAGAAAGCGATTATGTCAATCGAAATGAAATCAAGCGCATTGAAAATACCGTTGAGAAGGGATTTTCAAGTGAATTTGATAAATTGAATGAAAGTTTGTATAAGATAAATAATTTCTTAAAATTGTCAAAAGACATCGAAGACTTGAAAAAAGAGAGTTTAGTCAAGAATGATATACAACGTAAATTGTCATTGAAATCGCAATGGTTGAATTCAAACCACGGAAGTACAGCCAGTTTAAATAGTTTACCGCCTACGAATTTAAAACCAAATTGCTCAAGCCACGGTTCGACGCAATCGCTGAACAAAGGCGATGCAAAGAAGACGAATGATTTAGCAAAGAAACGCAAGAATTTTGCGAATTTCAAATCGCAGTCGGTACAAAATGTAAATGTAGAAAATGACAGGCCCGTTAGACGTAGGCTTGGCAAACGTTCAACTGGTTCGTCATTTGATGAGCTCAATTTTATAGACAAATTAAAACTGAGCGACGAAGATGTGTCACGATTGTCGCAAGAGCGTGAATTTCAAGATAAAGACGACAATGACGGCCTTTCTAAGGTTGATGCACTGAAGGGTCGATTAAGAGCACAGTCCGAGTCACTCGGTAGTTCGGTAAATTCGTCGCAACGCGATCTAAGCAAATACTTTCCGAAACGAGAAGTGAAGGCAAAACCGATGAACGTTAATAAAGGTCAAAAAGAATTGAAAGATGTGGATTTGTCAAAGTATTTTCTGCCAAGCCCAGTTCAGGGTTTGAAAAGTTTGCCATCACCCGGTCAATCGCCGAAATTACCGCGAAAACCGTTAAATTTAAAGCCGAAAGAAGAGAATAATACAACGACATTGCTGCGCACAGCAATTGATAATTTGCAAAAGTTTAAAAAGTCCGAATCCGAGGAACACTGCGATGAACCATCGTCGGCATTTCAAGCAGTTCGCGACAGTTTACAACAAGTAACCAAATCCAAGTCAGACGATCATGGTGATGAATCTTTAGTACTTCGCACAGCTCGCGATAATTTGCAAAAGATCGAACCGAAGAAAGAAGATTTTACATTGCACGATCAGCAACTTGACGGTGAGGTTAGTTTGAAAAGAGTGCCAAGAGTCAATAAATTGAATTTTGAACAGACAAACAAGTCTGAAGCTCCTTATTCGGGCTATGAAAGCATACCGCTCGGTAAGGAAACGAATGAATGTGAGAAATTATTCGATTGCATGAAATCGCCCATTGATGATATCGATGAATTGTTTGATAAAGTCGCTGCTGATGTTATACCCGAACTACCCAAGCGCAAAGTTATCGAAAAGGTGCCGTTGAAAAATCAACCACCAAAAATTATTCGCAAATTTGCCGAAAAGAAACCAATCGAAATTAAAAAGGTTGAAATTAAATCCAATTTTGCACCCGCTTCAAAATGGTGTCGAAAAGAATCGTTTCATGAATCGAATAAGCGTGAGGCTGACATTTTGAGCAAACTGTCGAGTAATTTATTGAATGAAATCAAGTTACTCGAACAGCATCTTCAATTGAACGAAGAACAAAAAGAACAAGAAAAGAAAGAACCAGAAGAGAAGAAAGTTAAGAAAGTCAAGAAAGACAAGAAGGTAACTGAACCTGAGTCTGAATTTGCGGGCACTGAAGAGGAATTGAACAATGCCATTGATGATATTCTCAATTCAGTGTCATACAAAGAAGATGTACCGCTCAGTAAACCGAAAAAGGTTACACATGTCAGCTTACCAAAGGCTTCGAAAGGCGCAAAATCAATGGTCAATCCATTTGCAAATGTTGAGATGAAAACGGCTAAAAAGGTTGAACTGCCAGCAGTGAAACCAAAAGAAGTAAAACCGAAAGAGGTTGAACCGATAGAAACAAAGCCCACAGAGGTTAAACCATCGCACAATGAATTCAAACCGGCACCAAAGAAGAATGTCACTTTACGTGCGAATGAAGAATCGCAAGATACCGTTGACTTTGCTGTCAAACCAAAGACCGCGGAACCTGTGGCAAAACCAAAGCCCGTTCAGCCTTTGGCAAAACCAAAAACAATGGAGCCACGGCCAAAACCATCTCTTGAAATCAAACCAATTTTGCAAAGAGTTCCATTAATCGATAATGAACCAGTCACATTTACCATGCGAAAACCTTCAGTTAGTGAAATTCAACCGCCTGTTCCCAAGCGTGCAGTGCCTAAATTTGAAATTATTCCAAGCACTCCGACCGTTGAAAAAGACGTGGTTTCATTTACGCTCAGAAGATCTCCAAGTCCGGTCCGTGAAATTAAATCAGTGGAATCGGTTGATAAACAAGAGGCTGAACCGATCACTGTAAATTATTCGTACCGAGCTCGTTCCAAGTCGAAGGAAAGAGATTCAAGCTTGTCGCGAGATAAGTCATTGAATAAAGACGCTAAAGTTACACAAGCCGTTGAGAAACAGGAGGCTGAAATCGATCAAAAAGATTTGGTTTCATTCACAATTCGAAAGCCTTCAATCAGTGATGTGAATCAAAAACCAATTACAAAGCAAAAGCCTGAACCACGTAAAATTGACGCGGCTCCTTCGAAAGAAAATGAATTGGTGAAAGTACGAGAAACTTCATTGAATGAAGTCTCCAAAGTTCAATTGCCTAAAAAAGAAGAGGTTGAAATTCGGAAGAATCCAACGGCCGCTCCAAATCAAAGCCCAGCGGCAGTTCGTAAAATTCAACGAACTTCATCAAGAGAAAGAGAACCGGCACCAATTCGAATTGCTTCGATCAAAGAAATGATTGAGGTTCAACCTGTTAAAAAACACCAAGAGCCGGTGATGAAAATACCGGAGATTGACAAGAAAGATTTGATGTCGTTCATGATCAAAAAGCCACTGCCAGACACTAAATCGGTTCAGAAACCTCTTGATATGCCACATCAACACATTGATAAACCGTCTAAGCCTCGTGTGAATGACGCAAGAAAGTCATTCCTTGATAATACGGACAAACCAATAAAACCGGAGCGTTCTGAGCATCGAAAAGAGCACAATGAAAATCACATTCATTTCAAACAAAACAAAGATCGCGCTCTTGATTCGAATAAAGTTCAAGTTGAGCCACCTGTTAAGCCGGCTCGCCGTCGAAAATCATCTAAATCGGACGATGAACAGCAAATAAGCATGCGTAAACAAGAACCATCACCGATTTCCGTACGAAAAGATTCATTTTCAAAGAACGATGAGCACAAAATACTCACAAACAATTTGCATAAATTAGTAAGCGAATCAGATAAGAACGAAATACCTGAACTCAGTCATATTGCACGGCTTTTAGATACGCACAAAATAGCAACCGAAAATGAGACGGCTGAAGTCAATAAACTGCCTGCATCAAAAGAACGGGTTGAAAGTTCGGCCAAACACAATAAAATTGATGATGAAAAATTCAAAGAGGTACAGTTTCGTTCGCATGATGACCGAAAGTTTGAACAAGATAAATCCGAGCATCGATGGTCTGATTATGATAATGTACCGTCGACAAATCAACGTGCCAAATTGAATAGAAATCTCTCTCGATCGTTTGATACATCTTGCGATGTGGATCGTGAATACCGTGATTATGATAATGTTATTAGTCGACGTTCCGAAGAAAGACCATCACCAGGCAAGGTATCAAGTTTAGATCGCAAGAAAAATGTAACGGACATGCTACTTGCGCGCAGCAAAAACTTGCATAACAAAAAGCAAGAGTTTATGAATGAGAAATTAGAAACCAATCCGTACATTCGACGAATGAGAGAAAAAGAGACACGATTCCGACCCGGTTATCGCGATCGTTCAATTAGCCCGTTGGCTAGCTCAAGCCATTACGACTATCCAAGCTCAACTCATTACGAATACCATCAACCGTATTCGCATTCAATTAGCCGACCGTTGCCAAGTTCGACGACAGCCGCCAATTCGCACTTATCGTACAACCCACGTTCAACAGCACCTTCGTCAAGCGGTGGCCGCAGTGTTTTGGATATGTTCAGAAATCCCACGTCAAGCAACAAAGATAGTTGCATAATATCGTAAAGACTTGACAAACAAATAAACACAATGAAGAACAGGCACAAATTGCAATTCTAGTCGCTTTCGATAGGAAAATGAGTAACAAAAAAAAACCTAATATTTTTAGATGTTCAATAATATGATGACAATTAATGTTAACTGAGAGAGTAGACTAAATGGCATTTTTTTGCGTTATTATACCCCCATATTTACTGGTTCCACACATATTTCAAGCCAATCATGTCACTTGTCAGCCTGAAATCACAGTTAGCGTTCTCTAGTTAGTTAAGCAGTTCGAATGATATTTGTTATTTTACTGTCTGTCTGTTTAGTCCTCTGTAGAGAAACAGTTCTGAAAAGTTGAATAAAATGTAGACCCACGTAACTACACACAGGAGAGTTTAGTTTTTTTTTTTGAATGAGTACACACACTATTTTAGATAAATCTTCTTTCTTCCTCAATTTTCACAAAATATTTACACTTGGCACAAGCACAATCCACCGTTCGAAAAAAAAAATCAATCGTCATTAGGTATTTCGACAGGTAATACAAAAACCACGAATTATTTGTTTTGCCTTGTCATTTTGTTCCGAAGCATTATAACTCCGTAACCGTTTAATAATAATATTTAATCTATCGATGGTTGTTTGAAAAAAAAAACGCAGGCTAAACGCAGGCACTACAGCATTATAAAACAGCTTATTAAAAACAAATCTAATGATGCCTCTTCTGCAGCAACAGGAACAGTCGTGTTTGATTTAATCCAATTGTTTTTTTTTGGAGTTTTAAATTTGGAGCGTATAATTTAGATTTAAATAATGATTAATTTTGATGGCAATTCTATTAATAATGTTGCCTTTTTCCTTTGTAACATTTTCGTTAATGTTTTTATTTTTTGTTACCTGCATGAGTGCCCGATAACGGTAAATTTCAATGGATCTAATGAGTTTTTTCAAACATTCTAGGTGCAAAGTGATTCCGACTCATCGTCAGCCGTGGAATTGAATTCAGCCACCGAAATTTCAACCGATTCCGAATTCGAACGTGATCCAGTCACGCCGCAATATTCCGAAGACAATAAGAAAGCAATCAATCGAATTCAGGTAATGATTCTAGAGCATTTATTTGACCAATTTTCCACTCCAAAAATTCACTTCTAAAACCACTTTGCCATCTTTTTCAGGTAAAACAAGGTGTCATTGACAACAGCGTACATCGAGCGGCTGTTCGAAATGCCCGAAGTGTTCAGAAGCCCAAGCACAATGTGCATTTGGAATTTGAGCCACTGGTGCGTGTCGATCCAACTGTGATACCGAATCGTGAACCATTGCAAAATCCTCGAGTTGGCGACTATTTGCTGAAGCAAACGGCAAGCACGGAGGGAATTGCATCGAAAAAGAGTCTGGAATTGAAGAAACGATATTTGTTGGGTGACACCGGTGCCAGTGGTATTATGAAATCGGATTCAATGTCAATGTTGGATTCGAAATTCAAAAATTTCCGTTCGACCATCACCGATTGCCAAAAACTATTGAATCCAGCCGTGCCAGATAAAAGTGCTGCCACAAAAGTGTCAAATAAAAATCAAATCAATGCGGAGAATATCGTTGAACCAACAGTGATTCCAAATAAACCTCAAAGCATTATTATCAAACACAACGAAGAAAAGGAAAATGTTTACGATCAAATTGTGAGCACACGCAATGAAATCAATAAAACGGAATCCTTCCACGAGCTAGCGAAACCGGCTAAAGTTGCCAGTGAAAATGAAGAAAAACCACCAATCATTTTGGCGGAGAATAAAATCCGTGATGCAACTACGAAAGTGATTGAAAACACGGAAGTGAATGCGAAAAAAGTGAACAATGGCGGCAGCGTTGAAAATAGCAAAAGTGACAATAAACGAAATTCATTCGAATATTCTGAAAAATTTAAGCACAGTGAAATAATAAGCAGTGGCCGTGACAATGCGACGGAAAAAGAGATCAGCGATTACAAGCCGGTTTATGATAGTCGTAAAGAGGGCGATAGCAATTATTTCTCGAGTTCATTATCGGCAGAAAAGCCAAAAACTGGCATTACAGTTGCGTCAAAGAAAACACAAGAAATCGAAACTGTTGAGCCAATGCTCAATATGCCGTGCATCGCTTGGGCACAATCGGCCAATCAAAAGCGACCCGATTCGGACACGTTTTCATCGAGCACAAGTAGTCCAGCGGAAATTCCGCATTTTATACTCGATTCCACGAGCCCAGACACTCAGGTAACACCCAGCGAATCAAGTGCGAACAAAGCCGATGACTTGATGCAAATGGATAGCTTGATGCTGATCGATGGCAAGTACATTGGCGATCCGGAAGATTTGAAACTCATGAAAATGCCGGAGAGTTTCACTGCGACCATCACCACAGGAGGATCAGTACCAACGACACCGACTGCCACAATTAAAACCGTTATTCATGTTCAGGCCGCCGAAAATGTTGTCGATATGAAACCAGAATCCAAAGTAGAGCCAGTGAAATCAGAGCCAAAAATTGAATCGAAAGCCGAGCCGAGAATAGAAACAAAAGTCGAACCAAGAACTTACAAATACGAACCGATTTACAAACGTCCAATTTTCCGATTCGACACAAGGAATGAGAATAAAATCGACACTCTCAAGAATATTCCATTGATTTTGCCGGATGAAAGTGAAAAGCCGCCCAAACCAACTCAATTAAATATTCCAACGGCGAATTCGGCTGTAACACCCGAGTCACCTGACTATGATAAAACACCAACCGCTTCGAATCCAGGCAATCTGTTGGATAAATCGAATCATTCCGATTCGGAAACAGAGATGACTGGCCAAGTGCTAACCGAAACTGAGCTCAGCGATTGGACAGCCGACGATGCGGTGTCAGAGAATTTTGTCGATATGGAATTTGTACAGAATTCAAACAAGGGCACAATCAAGCGTAATAAAAAGGCCAAGAAGAAAGATTCGTCGAAAGAAAAGCAAATCGGTCAAGCACCAATCGCAACAAATTTGGACTTTGACGATATGGAATTCATGGACACGGGCTCGGAAGAAAGCTACATGGAAACGTATGCAGCAACAAATAAAGCAATGTTAAATAATCGCGGCTACGTGCAATTTGTGAACACCCAACCAGAGAGTCCGGCCAATTATTACAACTACAATAAAAATGTGCAAACTAAACCGACACGCATCGAATTGGGCCGAAGTAATAGCATAAATCGATCAAATGAGTTGCATGACAATTATTTTATCGAACAGGGTGCGCTATTACTGTCCAATGAAAACGATTTAAAAACTCCGATGAACGAAAGTCCGGCAGCAATTTTACCGAAATTGCATGGTGATAGTCATGAAGTGGAAGATGATAGTCTTGTTATGATTGCATCACAAGGTGGTAATACGACGACCGAAGAAAGTGATGCACTCACCGTAGTTACCAGTCCAATGGAATCCGCTCCACGATTCGATGAATCGTCTAATTCGAATTTAAGCAATGCATCGCCGCATAAAAAATCTTCCAGCACAATTGAATCGTCCAAACATCAGAATCCGCAGCAAAATGAGCGCAAAAATTCCGATGACATCACGTACGAGGAGTACGTTCGCCAATTGCAAATGAAAATCACTCAGATCAGCAATGCACGCGATTCGATCGATATACGCAAGACAAAGCGTAAACATTCGAAAAATGAGAGCATCAATGATTCGTTATCCGGTCACCAAAATCAGCCGTCGCCGCATCATCATCAACAGCAGCAGCAGCAGCAGCAGCAACAGCAACAGCATCAACACCAACCATCCCCGAGTTCTGTGATAGATAATAATAGTAAGTCGTTAAGTATTTATGTGGGTCAATCGAATGAGACACCGACAAATGTGGTGGAAAAATTGGAAGAAATTTCCAAAGAACGAATAAAACAAAAGGATTTGATCCACGATCTGGTGATGGATAAATTGCAGAGTAAAAAATTGTCAAACGCTGAGAAACGTTTAACTCGCAGTCGCAATCGAAGCAGTGCACTGAGCATCAGTCCGAATACATCGATTTTACCGCCGGTGGCAACACCGCCGTTGACTCATTCACAATCAACCACAAGCATGAGTCCGAAATATTCGTCGTATCAGGTGGCCGAACCGGAACGTCGACATTGTTTGCCGAATCAATCGAAGGCATTGTCATTGTCGCCAACAAAAGAATTGTCAATTGTAAATCAGCTGAATCAAAGTGCTCGAAAATCCGGTCAACGACCACGCAGTGCAAATGTCGAAGAGTTCCCTGTATTTGAAACGCCAAAATTGAGCAAAACACAATCGTTTTGCGTTCATTCGACACGTGATTCGGGTGCATCAAGTTTGTCGCACAAAAACGACTATCCGTATCAATTCGTTGACAATGTGTTCAGCACACCAGTAATTCCACGACATCGAACACTTGACGAAGAACTGGCACAAACAACGGAAAAACTGCGTCAAGAGGCTCGTCTTCGTGCTCGCTTGAAATCCAATCAAGACTTGGGCCTCAGTCCCGAAGAAAAGATTGCATTGCTTCGCAAACGATACAATTTAGAGAACAACATGACTACAGCATCGGCCGTTCCATGTTCCACGTACAATGTGGCAACGCCCAACAAATCCGACGATATGAAAGTACGCGAAAAGAAAATGACCACATCAAAGAGTGTCAACGATATTTCGGCAAATAGCTCTCTAACCGAATGCAATCCGATCAGTATAAGTAGTCACCGTAAGAAGACCGAATTCACATCGAATCCAAATTTGGGCGAAGAACAAAAAGCATCGCCGAAACGCCGTCAAAAGGATCCCGAGCGCCGTAAGAGTATCATTCAAGCGGTATCCGATTTCTTCCATAAAAAACGCGACAAAGATACACCATCGTCACCGCCAAAAGAAAAATCCGAAGGAATGTTCGGACGCTTGCGTATCTCGCCGAAATCGAAATCCAAGGTACATTTACCCTCCAATACTTCGTAGAGTTTGTCGTATATATACTTGAATTATGCTCTCTCTCTATCTTGTTATTTATTTAGGCATAAAACAAAAGTTTTTCTTTTCGGAATTTCTGAGAATTATGCTTACAATTTGTTTTCCTTCTTTTTTTTCGGTTGTTGTTCTTGTTGTGAATATTTTCTTTTCTTTTCTTTATTTTCAATTTTATTTATTCTTCTTTGAACAATGTTTGTCTAATTCTAATTTCAAACTTTGACAATATTCCATCTTTTTCACAGTCATGCTTTGAATTCAGGAATTTGGGTTTTGGTGTAAGATAATCTTTGATTATATGGCCGTATATCAGTTATCTATATCGCTATGCTTTTTCCCTTCTGTTTTTTTCATCATTTAATGTATCTCGGAATTTTCCATCTTTTTTTTCTTTCTGTCGTCAATACTGTTTTGTTTTTTTTCTTCTTCTTATTTTTCTTTCCCGCTTCTAATTGTGTTGTATATCCGATTACAAATTCCTTTCAAAGAAATGTTACGCATTTTTTCATGTGTGTGTTCATTTTGCTTCTAAATTTAAATTGATTCAATGTTTCACTAATTGGATTCGTCAATTCAAAGCACATTTTATCCAATCTACACGCACTTTGTCAATTTGAATAAAAGAAAAATCGAATTTGTTTGTTGTAAACACAAATGCTTTTAGCAAAAATATTTGTAAACGAAACGGCCTTCTCATTCAATTTTCGTATGCAGAAAATTGAGTGAGCATTGCTTCCACTTATACGTAAGACATTCTTTAGTGAATTTTTTTTATTGTTTTAAACAAAGTTGCAATCTTAGGTGTGGAAAAAAAACGATGCTTCGTTACTGACGGATGTGATGATAGAGATAATTGGCAACTGATATTTAATATCTTCTTTATGCATTGCATTCTGATATAAATGGCCACTTTATGTGCAATCGCATTCCCATTATATAGGCTAAATTCCGCGCCGTCAAGCATAAAACACACTCAACGTGCAATGTTATGCAGCACAACAAGTGCTCCAGAGCCCACACTATATTTAGAATGAATAACATTTTGTATGGAATGAACATAAAACTATTTTGAGCAACGTTTCAATTTCACAAGCTGCCATTTATTACCAGCAAGAATATAAATTAACATTGATTTATTCATTTTTACTATTTAGATAGCTCATATGATATAAGTTCGGACTCGTTTTGCAATTGACTTCATTAATTTGTTCAAAAGAATTTCCAATTTTTTGGGTTGATTCAAAAGAATTTTGCCAATTCGTGTGAATCAACAGATTGCCATGTTAAGCCTCATTTACAGTTCGCCATGAAAAAACAAAATTTGCATTGATTTTTGGGTACCTAACCCGGCCATGCGAAAAAAAATATTCGGTATTTCTCACAATTTTTTTTGAAGAATACCAAATATATTTTTCGCATGGCCGGGTTATGTACCTTAAAATCAATGCAATTTTTTTTCGAATGGCGAACTGTAAATCAGGCTTTTAGCATAAAAAAAACTCATTCAGAATTTTTATTTGGGATTTGGAATTTTTAAGTTTTGTTTTATAGTTTTTACTGTCACAGAAAGAATTCTAAAGAATTTCGTCAAAATTGGTCACATAAAGAATGTCTTGCAGTTGTGCACTATCAAATAGCGAATAAATGCGATAAAGAAACTTCCTAAATTGTAAATATGTTGTAAAATATTGTTAAATATTATGGAGGTATATGGATGAAATTAACTCGTCGGGCGAATGATGAACAACGAGCTAAACCAAATCTACAACTATTTCTTTATCAATGCTTTGTTGTAAAAACTATTTCCAAAATGCGATTGTATTTCCCAATAAAATGTGTTTTTTATTCTAATTTTGTGTAATATGAATTGTTTTGATTGTAGCTTCTAGATTTGCACTGACACCACTACACACTTTTTTTCGTTTCCACACTGTTAAAGCAAACCAAATGTGAAAAAAATGTGTATCCAAATTATTTGCACCAATTGGTTGTAATTACAACACTATTTTGCTTTAAAAACAAAACCAAAAACAAATAATGTTAAGGCTAAGACAATATTTGTTGCATGTTAATTGTTACCTGGCTTGAGAATATACAGTTTATATCTGTTTTGTGTGCTTTTTTTAAAAATCAAGGTGAATATGTGTGTTTCACTTGTTTTGTTACATGTAAATATCACAAAGCAAATCAAAAGAAAAAAAAAAGTTTTGTTTTCAATCAAATTAACCAATTAATTTATCGACATTTTAACAAACAAATAAAAACCAAAAGGAGAAAATGGAATTGTCAGCGGAATTGAGCAAATCGGAGAATTGTTTAATTGCCAAAAATAAGCCGATTGATCACACAGATGGCGGCCGTGATGAACTGACACCACCACCCGTTCCACCACTGCCGGTTAATTATCAACGTTCGGACGGTTTGTATTCACGTTTTTTTTTTTGAAAATTAATTTCAATTTTTTCAATTCAGTTTTTCTTGTAAAGCCTTTTGTTTGAACCACAACGATTTTGGTTAATTTTTGATTAAATAAATAACATTTATCATTTTCTTTATTTCGGCATTTGTATTGCACGATCAAAAGATGTGTGCATTAAATACATGTGCATGCTGCCCTGAGGCCACTTCGCTTCGATACTATTTCGTTCTGAATCAAAAGTGTATATAAATTTCTTTTGGGTGATTAACTCTAAAATATAAAAATCAATTAACACATATGAACGAGATGGATTTCACATTGACTAACATTTTTGACTGTGTGTTCCAACAGATGAAAGCTACTTATCGAATGAGAATCGCGAGCAAAAGAAGCTACGTGCTCATTACAAAGCCACTCGGCAAGCGGAATTGAAGCGGTACGTTTGAAACTGAGAATTTAAAAGGAAATTCAAAGCAAAATTTCGGAAATTTTCGTTGAAAACTTCAAATTGAATTCAAAAATGTTCATATTTTTATCAATTGAAACTTGAAAATTTCAATTCAAAACCGACTTTATGAGCTAAAAAACATCAAATATTCTCTTGTTCAACAGATTGCGAATTGCTCAGGAGATTCAACGAGAGCAAGAGGAAATCGAAGTGGAATTACGTGATTTGGAGGCGCGCGGTGTCATGATCGAGAAAGAATTGCGCGGCGAAGAACAACTGCCAGATGTGTAAGTGTTTTATTCTATGTTATTTAGAATAATTTATGTGTGGTAACACGAATGGGTACTAACAGCACTGGTTTTATTAACAGGGTGGATTCAAACGAGGTGATTGGCATGAAGGATGACAAATTACTTTCGGAATTGATGGAAATTCATAGCAGAATAACACACCTAAAGTATGTTAACTAAACGATTTGCAAATAAGTTTGTAACTGATTGTGGGTGAATATTTTTTGTGTTTCCAGGAAACGCGATGGTGAATTGAGTATTCGTCAGAAGGAATTGCAATTGGAATATAGACATGCTCAATTAAAGGAGCAACTGAATGTTCGTCTGTCATGTGGAAGTGAGTGAACAAAAGTGCCTTGTGTAGAATTGAATGACTTTTTAACAATATGAACGACAATTGTGAAGAGAAAATGATTTTCTAACCAAAAAAAAACTAATAATTATTCGTTTTCCCCCCCACAAAACATAGGACTGGACAAGAGTTCATCGGATGTAGCGGCAGAGGGAGCAATTTTGAACGAAATGTTGGACATTGTTGCGAAACGAGCAGCTCTCCGAGCCAACGATTCTCAACACGGAATGAATAGCATTGAAAGTGATGTAAGTCTGGCCATTTCGTATGCATGCTGTTCACGTGACTTTCTATTCAAATGGTTGATCCCGATCATTTTATCCGTTTTCTGCATGTTTTATCTACACTATGCACACTTTTAATACCGTTTTACCTTTTTGTAGATCTTTTCGTTTTTATTTTTATCCCATTTTTATCAACTGTTTTTTTTTTTAATTTCAATTGTTGCTTTTATGCCATTATTATTTATTTTATTCCATTTTACCATGTATTTATACACTCAAAAAATTAAAGTGATGGTTGTTTTATACCTTGGAAAGTTGAGTTAATATTAAACTGTTAAAATTAGAAAGGGTGCATTTGGATCCTATTAGATTTGAGTTAATTGTGCACACGGAGCAGAGGTGAACAAGTAGTGTGGATGTTAAATGAATTGCCTAATTCACATAGGTATATTGATTTATTGATTTTTTTAATTTGCTAACCAATTAACTCCAGCAAGAATATTGTTAATTTGAATTGTATTCAATCAAAAACTAATTTTTTTGCAACTTTCGATTTAAATTTTTTTTTCGTTGAATTGCAATATTCTCAGCAAAAGTAGCAGTAACCATAGCAAGTAGTTTAAGTGTGTCTTTTGTATCATTTTGAATAATCCACACTAAATTGAAACCCAGTAGAATTTTTCCTGTAGCAAACACAACACTTTCCATTGCACAAACTTAGTTATGATTCATTCAGCCAACCAAACGCGATAGATGGTCAGCTACGGCTGACGCTCGTTATCCAGATAATTTGCGTGCGGTGAACGCATATAGAACGCTCCGCTGACATTCCGTTTTTGTAACGAGCAATCCATTCAAATTCATGATAGAATCCATGAATTCGTTTGGATACCACGTCACAAAGTCAGAAAAATTATGGATTCTATCATGAATTTGATTGATCGCACGTCACAAAAACGGAATGTCTGTGCCGGTATTCTGGAACACAATCCGCAAAAATAATGCGGAATTATTCCGAGCGATCAATCGTATTTTGGAAGGTGGTATCCAAACGTTATATATGGATTTGTCTCTTTTTCATTGATTGAACGTTTGGATACCACCTTTCAAAGTACAATTGATTGCTCGGCGGCAGCGGAGCGTTCTATATGCGTTCACCGCACGCAAATTATCTGGCTAACGAGCGTCAGCCGTAGCTGACCATATATCTCGTTTGGTTGGCTGGATTCATTTATTGTCAAATTTTAATCGTTTTTTTACGATTCGTTCAATTTACAGTTGCGACGGAATTACTGAGTGAAACCAAATATGATATCGATTCTTTCAGCATTTGTACGGAATGTCTGAGGCATCAAGTTGAATAACATGGATACAAGGTCTAAAACTAACACAATTTTTTTGCAGCCAAATGACAGAACATAATTTAGATTATCAATTAGTTTTTAAGCTTCTAAACGGGGCCGATAGTCATGTAAAACACATGAATTCTCTCGCACAATTTCATTTATTGCGGTTTTTTTTTGTTGAAAAAGAAAAATAATTGAAATCATATTGTAATTCATTTAATTTGACAGACAAACCAATTGAACAAGATTTTCATTTCCTTTTAAAATGAACAAATAAAATTCCATATTATTAGTGAAACCAAAATGTGCATTTGTATTTATTTTTTCCTACTGTAAACAGAAACGAAGCAGAGCTATTGATATCATACTTAGAAATTTCGTGCCTCTGAAAATGAAGAAAAGAACTGACTTCTTTCATATCAAAATAAACCAAAAAATAAAACAAGAACAGATTTATGGACTATTTTTTTATTGAGTCGTTACATACTTTTGAATTCCTACAACATAATTTCGATTCATCAATTCCGAACAAAAAAATTTCCAACTCTCCAAAATTAGCATTCTCAAACTCTTCCAGCACACCATCAATTCCGTTTTGCGATGCTTCAAGTTCGTAGTTTTGCATCAGTTCCGCTCCAACTGTTGTGAAATCCTTTGAATACTCGGAATCATCGGTGTTAATTGGTGATTGTTGAAAGAATTTATCAATATTTTCATTACGGCAGTTGGGTAAAGATATTGCTTGATACATTACGCAATCGTGTGGCGGTGATATATTTTGCTCTTCTTTCAATTCTATGCCAGTCCTTTCCACTTGTCGGTTCTCGTTGCTGATCTCACGCTTAGCCGGTTGATTTGATTGCAGTTTATACATTTTACATCGTCGATTTTGAAACCAAGTTTTTCATTTTGTATTCCCATTTTTTCTGCCAGTTCGTTTTGATCTTTTTCACTTACAAAATGTGACTTTTGATAATAGCTTTCCAATAAGGCAACTAGATGTAAGTTTATATCCTTTACGTTTTAGATGTATAGGTTCACCTGAGATAAGTTTGGTCCGTCGTGTGAAGCGAACTGCCATAGTTGAATTCGGTTCCTCTGGTTGTTGATAATTTGACATTTCTCTCGTTTGATTTTTATCAAATTGAATAATCAACAATGTCATTCGGGATAAAAATTATTGACATATACCTATACCCGATACCCATTGTCGATACTATTTTTTCAAATAGTGGTACCTAGTTAGTAACTCGGTCATGTAGATAATAATAGCATTATAGAAAAAAAAATGTAACAAAATTCCATCTGAAATGTTTGGAGCATGTTCTTATGCTCCATGTTCTCAGGATTTATTAAAATCTGGATTAAACTTTTCGATTTTTTTTAATCGAAGCAAAAAAAATTAGTTTCAATTTTAAAGTAAAAAAAAAAACAGGGAAATGTTGGCATTCGGGGCATTTACAACATTTGCTTCTAATGAAATAATTTTTTTAAACTTTAACCCTTAGGGGGAAAAATCATTTTTTTCATTTTTTGTATCCGCACGCATCAAGTAATAACTTAGAAATTCAATGGTATGCATGTAAGTCCGAAATATCCACGTATATTCAACAATATTCATCGTGAACGACAAATGAATATTACTGAATATACATAGATATGTCAAATTTACGTGTATACGTATGAAAAATAAAAATAATAGTGAATCAAACCTTCAACCGTGAATTTGAACGATTTTGGTAGATAACGGTGAATATTGGAACATTTTTTGACATTACAGTCTAATGGATATTATCACAGCCGGCGACAGCAGGCGCGAGTGACGAAAGCACCTCTGTGCTGAAAGTCGAACTCGCCTATATATACACGCAATTTCGAACTTTTTTTCTAATAGACCATCTGGTATGAATGAAGTATCGTCAGAAAGCCCTTGGCTCATAGGCCCAGAAAATGCATTCAAACTTGGGAATCGACCAACCGTCTCCATAGATATGGCCACTTAAAAATTTGGAGCAATTCTCAGTTTTTGCCATTTACCGGGGGTGGACGCGGCCTAGCCATCTCGAAACATGGTTTTTCTGAAGCTTCTTGTCGAGACCTTTCCAAAAAGACCAAGAACGTCGAAATCGGACCATCAGTTCATGAGTTATGGACATTTGAAAATTTTCTTTGCCGTCTCCACCAATTATTCTGAGATAATAGTTTTGTCTGTGTGTCCGTCCGTCCGTCCGTCCGTACTTTTTGTCCGATCTTTTTCAAACTTTCATGCATTGAACTATATCAAAAACTAAGACTTTTTTGTTCCGCCACTTTTTGATTCGGCCGACATTTTGGCCTTGGCCGGCCTTTGAAAATTCAAAAAATGGCCTTCCTTCCAATGGCTACTGTGCCTAACCTTGTCAACCGATTTCAGACTTTTAGGTATCGTTGGAAAGGTCTCAAGGCCAGCTATAAAATCGCACCTATTTGAGCTTTGAAAAATTAAATTAGCATGGTCTTATGGGCTGAAAACCCAAAAAATGGTCACCTGGCCTTGAACAAATCGGCCATTTTCTCGAAAACGGCTCCGACGAATTTTTTCAAAATTGCCTCAAATATTGCCCCAAATTAGAGCTAAAATTTGACATATAGCTTATATCTGGGAAAACTCTGTTTTTCGAGATATGGCCATTAGAAGTTGGAAAAAACATGAAAAATCGACAAAAATCAACTAAAACTCATTTTTGTTGCCGTGAATAAGGTCAAAATCATAACCAAAGTGTTTTTGCGTTCAGATGAATAAAATTCTTCCGGATACCAGCCCTTCACCAAGTCTTTTTATACCATGCAATCAACTAAAAACTCAAAAAAGTACTTTTCATGAAAAAATCAAAACGATTTTAACTACAACATTTCATGTTTCATTTTCTTTGGCTCAATACACACCACTTTGTGTTTGATTCTAGGGGCTAGGAACAATCTGTGAGATTCACATAGATTCGCATATACTCATGCGTTCGTGGCTTTGTTATTGTTGTTGTACGCTCACTGCGATGCGAATGTCTCGTATACACAATCACACGAATTCACAAATATTCGTACGGATTCGTCTCAAGCGCTTGTGTTCTTACCCCCTAGGTTTGTTTAGTGTTATTTATTTTTGTTGAAAAAAAAAATTCGGGTACAAAGCAACTGATATCAAATAAAAAAAACTTCTTTCGAAGTAATTTCTCGTGACGAAAGCGAACACAAAACAGCTGATATCAATTTAAACAAATCATTTCGGAGCGATTTGGATTTGCTTTTTTTGCATTCTTCCAAATAATTTCAGAATCGATTAGTAATGATTTTTTTAAATTGATATCAGCTGTTTTGTGTTCGCTTTCGTCACGAGAAATTACTTCTTCATGAGAAAGTTTTTTTATTTGATCAAATATACATAGATATTTGAGATTGACGTGCATACCAGTAAATTTGTGCAGATTGTAGTCTAAAAATGTTCCAATATTCACCGTTATCTACCAAAATCGTTCAAATTTACGGTTGAAGGTTTGATTCACTATTATTTTTATTTTTTCAGAGTTATTTGCGTTCTGCAAAATCGCGTGAAGCCCCTAGTTTAACCCATTTTCTACCAAGGTGCAAAAGTGGGTTCGAAATGAGTAACCAATAGTCTATCTAATCTAGTATAATTTTCCCCTGGAAACTCCGAAAAAACTGTCATATGGAAAATTTTTGTTTGCAGTTTTTCCGGAAAATCCATTTTCCGGAAAACCATATTTTTGTAGGCTCACAAACTGATCAATCAAAAACCGTTATGCTTTATTTAAAAATATTAACTATAAGTCTATTTAGAGTTATTTTGGCATGAAAAAATGAAAAAAAATGTCAGATGGAAAATTCGTCTTGTAGTTTTCCAGAAATGCCCCGGGATTCTTTATTATCTCCAAATCCACCCTGGGCTTCCCTAAGTACCTCCTGAACATAGG